CGGATGGAGTCGCGCTCCTCTCCTCAGTCACTGTCCACGTCTCCCTCCGCCCGGCTTTTCATCTTTATTGTTGAAAGGACCGCATCGACCCTTCCGGCCCTCCCGCCCCGGCCGCCCCCCGGGTGTCTGTGTCCGTGGGCGACGCGTGTGTGCATACGAGGTCTCTGACTGATGGCTCCCCCTCCCCGCCTGCAGGCTGTGCCCGCTTCTGCGCCTCTGGATCTGATCTGTTCAGCAGCTGATTTTGTTCCTCAGAGTCCACGGTTGAGGACGATCATGGGATATTGTCTTTCTCTGACGCTGACTTGGCTTCCGCACGTTTTCACGGCGTTCGGGCTCCGAGGGAAGTGGCTGCGCCCTGTCCCGCTCCCATTCCTTGCAGGTCAGCCGGGCGGCGGGTCAGCCTCCGGGCCTTGCAAGGGGTCTCACCCTGCAGGACGGGGCCGGCCGGGTCAGCCTCCGGGCTTTGCAAGGGGTCTCACCCTGCAGGTCAGCCGGGCGGCGGGTCAGCCTCCGGGCCTTGCAAGGGGACTCACCCTGCAGGACGAGAGCGCCGTGCACAGGAGAAGGGGCTGGACCAAAGTATACTTGGGATCTGCTCTGACCACCGGCTTCACCAGGTCCTCCGCCGACCACACCCCCCCACACACCCCTTCATCACCACCACCATCGCAGTGTAGATTTGCCTCGTTCCTGGTGATGTCTACTTTGTTGAAAGCATTTCATACATATCCAGCCATCTCGCCAATAAAAGTAACTTTTTACATTTAAATGATGTACAATAAAGAAAATCTGTACAGGTCAGAGCTAGACATCCCCTTGGCCATGCTCTAGCCTGGGCAACTATGGAGGTTAAATGAGATACAATATGTCAGCGTTAATTTAATTTTTCAGCTTTTAAATGTTTTTATTGATTTGACAGAGAGAGAGGAAGGGAGAGGAATAGAGAGATGGAAACATCCATGAGAGAGAAACATCATCAATTGGCTGCCTCCTGCACACCCAGAGTAAATGTTCACATTCAGAGTAACTATAGTTGTTCTTTAAGATGAAAATGGTGTTCCATGAAAAAAAGTGGCTAGTTTACTAGTAGCTCTCAACACAAACTATCATTGGAGTACTTTTCCTCGAGACAATTCTTGCACTGTGATATGCAATAGTGTTTCATGCTTCTCATTGCATGACATAATATTAACATGATGTCTTGTCAAGAGTTGAGATTTAATAAAATTCATAAATTTTATTGCTTCATTAAATATTTTCTTAAGTGAGATTTGATTTTATTTGGGGGGTGTGTGTGTGAGCATTGTGGTGAGCAATATGGTCAATATTAGTATTTTAGAGCAACTGCCTAAATTTGTGATAATGTGCTTGCAGTTTTAACAGCCATTATTTTTACCCCATTTTTTGTTTGTTTTGATTTTTTAAAGGCTATATTCACTTTATTTTTTAAAAATACTTTAATTGATTTTATAGAGAGGAAGGGAGAGGAATAGAAACATCAAAGAGAAACATCATCATTTGGCTGCCTCCTGCATGCCCCCTACTGGGAATCAAGTCAGAAACCCAGGCTTGTGCCCTGACTGGGAATGAAACTGTGACCTCCTGGTTCATGGGAGGACCCTCAACTAATTGAACCACACTAGTCAGGCTGTGTTATTCTTTTTTAATTTTTATTTTATTGATTTCAGAGAGGAAGGGAGAGGGAGAGAGATAGGAACATCAGTGATGAGAGAGAATCATTGATCGGCTGCCCCACACTGGAGATCGAGCCCACAAGCCAGTCATGTGCCCTGATGGGGAATGGAACCATGACCTCCTGGTTCATAGGTTGATGCTCAACCACTGAACCACACCGGCTTGGTGGTGTTATTCTTTTAAAATATTGCTTTGGCTACTCTCAGTTTCTTAAATTTCCATACAAATTTTATGATAAACTTGTCTAATTTGGAGAGCATTCAGTTGAAACTTTGATAGGAGTTGTGTTGAATCTGTAGATCAATTTTGGGGAATACTGCCATTGTAAGAGTATTAAGTTTTCCAATCCACAAACATGAGATGTTACCCTTTCTCCTCCTTTCTCCTGCCTCTTCCTTCCACCCCCTCAACTGTTACTGTTACAAGGTGGCCAAATAAGGAGTGAAGCGGTACACCAACTCTTGCCTCACAAAGCCAGAAAGTTGTCTTCACATTTTCGGGGCCTCTGGTAACCCACAGCCCTTATCGCATAGGCAGTATCCCACAAATAGCAGCGGCCAGCGAGGACTGCTTTTAAGGTGCAGCCTTGTGGTTGCCATGGGCCAACCACTCCCTAGGAAGGTCCTTGGCAGTGTGTTTACCTTCTGGTGTCTGGCGGGAAGTTGGCATCGTCGTTATGGGGACAGAAGATGCTGAAACCAGCTACTTCCTGACGGCACTGAGAGGTTAAGTCTGCCAGATTCCCTCCTCCTCCGTCCAGGCCACCCTCGCTGGATATTTTCCAGGTTCTGCCTGGAAGGCAAACCAAGTCGAGTATCTTTTTCCTCTTGGAAAAGGCGAGGTCTAAATACAACTCCATTTTATACAGCTAATTGAATCTTACAACAGGTATACAGGTCTGGTTAGATCTTATTTGGTTTTAGGGTACATATTGGGGTTTCTTAGCATGTCTGGAAGATTTTTCTTATTTTGCTATTTATTGTACCGGCTTACATAAGGATGAGCAGGCAGGACTGCCTCCCTTGGAGCAGGCCAGAGATGGCTGGAGTCAGGGTGGCGCCACGGTGCCCCTAGCCCCCAACCGCCTCCCACGGCAGCCGTAGCCCTACCCCCGCCCCCCATCGGGTCCCCTCCGCTGAGGTCCGGTGCCTCCACTATGGCATTGATAGGAGGAGCTCCAACCGGAGATCAGGGACACTCCAAGGGCTCAGCATCCCCTCAAAAGTCGCGTCTGGCGTGGGGTCCCTCGGCCCCATGGAGATGTGTCCAGCTTCTGAACCTGCTTCTCGGAGGATGGGTTTCCAAACAGAAATCCCACGACCCTGGGCGGTCAGCCCTCACCTGGAGCAGGAGGTGCCTCGGCTCAGCGACAGGAGACTTGGCTGTCCCAGGGAGACCCCTGCAGGCGCTGTCAATAGCCAGAATGGCGCTCAGCGAAAACCCCGTGTCCCGGCGGGGGCTGCGCACCTTCCTGGGCCGGGATCTGCAGCCGGCCACCGGCTGCCCTTCACCTTCACAGCGAAACCCAGGCGTCCCAAGTAGATCCCAGGAAAGGATCAGGGGTGTTTATCTCTAAGGCATCCCTTGAGATAAACTAACCGTGCAGGTGTGGGACATTCAAGTAGTTGCTAGCAAAGAGGCTGCTCTACACAAGCAGGACCAAGGGCAGGCCTAGGACTGAAAAGACCAGAAGCTTTAATTTTAATTTTAAGCATACGCAAAATAATTCAATTAACTGCCGGAGGAATTACACCACATGAAACATATGCTGTTGCAAATCACACAGCACTTTATTACACAAGTTCCTGATGCTGCAGGTACAGGCTTAATGGGGATCCCGGTGGTGCCGTCCTCTGGGGTCTGGCAGCTGGGCTGGTCCGGTCCTGATGCAGGGGGCCGGCGTTCCTCGATGGAGAGGTACTAGTCGTTCTTACGTCGTCTGGCAGAGAGAGGAGCGGCGTAGCTTGCCGGACTGAGAAAAGGACGCGCCTTTGTGGCTGTCTCAACAGGCGAGCACCGTTGGCTGGTCAGGACCCGTTTTTAAAGCCTGTTGCGCAGCAGTTCAGGTGGCTATCAATGAATTACGTAGGCACACACGTTAATCTCAAACAGGGCGAGGGCCTACATGTGATTATCTAGGAAGAGTACATCACTCACTCAAATGGTTATCCTGACAAGTCACTCTGAGTTGGCAACTGAAGTTCAAATCCTTATCTATGAGGTACACACGCTTCAGGGCAGATGGGGAATGTGTCCTTAATATCACACTTTAAGTTTTCAGGAAAGTGAACTCAAACATTTTAAAACCTTTTAAACATTTTTTAGACATTTTTAAAGCATTTTTAAACATTTCTATATTTTACTACAACACCAGGTCAGCCTATGGAGAGTTTAGCTCAGCTACACCATGGTCGTGCTGACGCCACATCCCTTTTTTTTTTGGCCAAGTGGCTTGTATCGGCCTTAAAACTGACACTGGCCCCCTCATTCAGGTGGATGCCCAAGATAGCAGCCACAGTCACAAGCAAATGTAAATTCCTGACATGACTTCACCGACAGCCCTGGTAATCAACACTCTCCCCTGCCTCCCAGCGCCTGTATGCCTTATGCACCCCTTACATAAGACCTCAGTGGGGCTTACCAAAACCCCGCTCTTTTGAATTGACCAACGCAGCCCTCGTCAGGTAACCCCAAAGCACTCCACTCAGGGTCCCTAATAAAGACAGGTAGCCCAGGTCCTGCCTCTCTGCATTCTTCCTGGACCTCCCGCTGTGGCCCCTGGAGGAATGCAGTGTACTTCCTCCAGGCCCTGTAAGTAAGAAACTTCTGGAATCCAGTTTTTCTTGTGGGGGATAAGGAGGGTGGCTCACCACCCAGCACCCTGTGCTCCCCTCGGCAAATCTTATTTTAAAAAGTCGTAAGATAGTGGCATAAGGAGCCTAGAACCAAACCACTGACATCCGCCTCAAGGACTCACCCCTCTGACCCCAGGTGGGAAGAGGCCGGTCACACAGCTGGCTCAGGTCCAGGGACAGGTGGAAGGAGAAGTGTCCCCAGATGGGAAGGGGTTGACCTCACAGAAGTCACGAAGGGCATCAGCGGACGGTGACACAACAAGGAGCAGGAGGCTGAGGAAACCTGCCTCATTGGGAGGCTGGAGTCTGTGGCCCATCAGGAATAGGTGTCACCTAGCTCAAATAAAGGATTTTTTGAGAAATCATTTATAATGCTACAGAGAACATGGCAAATATAAGGGTTATAATTTTCATTTGAATGTTTTCCTTTAACAAAAATGTGAGAAGAGGGAAGTCCCTGATTTTTTTTCTACCACTACAGTATTTCAAGATCACTTACCACTCTTCCTTAATAAGGTAACTGATTTTTAAAAATTGGTTCAAGAGAGAGAGAGGGAGAGAAAGAAACATCGATTTGTTGTTCCACTTATATATGCATTCATTGGTTATTTCTGGTATGTGCCCTGACTAGGGATTGAACCTGCAACCTTGGCATATCAAGACAATGCTCCAGCCACCTAAGCTACCCAGACAGCACTGTACAAGCAGCTTCCTCAATCTCAGGAAGAATCTTTGAGCCAGACCCTTCTTTTTTAAAATATATTTTTATTGATTTCAGAGAGGAAGGGAGAAGGAGAGAGATAGAAATATCAATGATGAGAGAGAATCATTGATCGGCTGTCTCCTGCATACCCCTCCCTGGGGACTGAGCCCACAACCAGGGCATGTGCCCTGACTGGGATCAAACCATGACCTCCTGGTTCATAGGTCGATGTTCAACCACTGAGCCATGACAGACTCCCTTTTTTAGGGTGTTTAGGACCCTTTGTTGGACCATGTTATTGATTGTACTATTTATCAGTGGCATGTTAAAACTTGCATGGTTTGTGTAAAACAACACAATTAGGAATTGCAGATATAAAAAGCTTTACCCAATTGCCGAGCAAAACAGCCACTGGTGTGCATATTTCTGACCACATGCTGAGATCCAACAGGCACTTTGCTAATTGGGTACAGATACATCACTCAGTCTGGCAGTGGGGACCATGTAGGTGGCTCCTGGTGGGAGGACATGGAAACATGGTCTCTTCTACTTGTCCTGGGAAGGAATATAGGGAATGCTGCTATGCAGAACCTGTCAATAGTCTATGGCAAGCAGCATTCCCTCGGTCTCCATAACAACAGTCTTTCCAGTCAGCCATCCTTCCTCCGACTTCCAGGTCTTCAGTGCCGTTCAGGCAAGCAGCTCTCAGGTTTGAGCTGATCACATGAAGCAGTCATGGAAGCCTGGGAAAAGGCTGGGAGACATGGGCGTGTCACCCACTGCTCCTTCACAGTCCAGACTGCGCTCCCAGAGATGCGGTGCTAGTTCCGCCTCTCACGCAGGTTAATGGCCAGCTCAGAGCCCAGATCTCCGGCTTCCCAGCCTTGTGTCTCTCTGGGACATGCACACCCTATGGCCCTCATGGTGTCTTCAAGACCCCAATTCTGATTTTCCAGAGACATAATTTATACATTAAAGCCAACTCATGGACGCTATTTCTCAGAGGTAGGGTAGGTGGTGAAGTCATCTGTCAAACCTTCTTACGGACGTACCAGAGCACACTCCGCTCTTAACTGGAGCCTTGACTGTGGCTCAGTTGGGCTGGGCCTGGGGGCTGGAACATCTGGAGAAATCGCGGCGTCTGGCACATTCCCAATTCCCGCGTTTTACCAGGATCACCACGTTGGGAATGGGGCCCTTCACCTCCTGCAGCTACACAGTCTCAAACGGCCGGATACCTTCAGGTAAAAGAACAGGAAGTGGCCTTTGTCACCATGGGAACCGAGGACGCCTATTGGGGTTGAATTGCTGAGTCTGCGCAGTCCTCACCTAACTTTTGGTCACGCCCCCAGTCTCCGTTGCTCGCTACTCTCGGGTTTGGATAGAAAGGTGGAGACTCAGAAAATTGATTTTGGTGAATACCACCTCCTTTCCCATGGGAAACTCACGATGTAGTTGGAGCCATGACATAAAATCAAACAATTTCAGTAATTTTAAAAAGCACCGTTAAATGACAGAGGAATACAAATTTCACACAAATCTGACCCAGTCAAAGGGATCAAGGGAAGTTGCCTGCAGAGGGAATCATTGAGCTAAATTTTGGAGGATAAGTAGTTTGTGGATGAAAGGTACAGATGCAGTGGATACTGTACTGCACCATCCTGATCCCACTGAGGGACATATTCACCCAGCTGCAGGCAGTGTTGCTAGGAAATTCACCAAAAGGCTTTATTGAGAACCCAAAGCAGACACCCGAAAAATGTTCACTGGAAACAGTGCTAGAAGCAAATGGATTAAAGTCAGAGATGTTTAATTGTATTAAATTACTTATCAATTGGCTGGTCAGAGCTGGACGGTTTATTTTTTTAAACTTAGGCTGTTTCCAAATCTTAGCTATTGTAAATTGTGCTGCTATGAACATAGGGGTGCATATATCCTTTCTGATTGGTGTTTCTGGTTTCTTGAAATATAGTCCTAGAAGTGGGATTACTGGGTCAAATGGGAGTACCATTTTTAGGACCTGGACCCTGTGTTTATTTATAGACAGGTGGGATAATGAGAGTTTCCATTTTATTCTTTATGACTTTTCTGTGTTGTTCAAAGTTTCAATTAAAAGTATGTTCTCCTTTAGTAATAATAAAAAGCAAGTGCTAACAAAGAAGATAGTGAAATTTTGCTTCACAACCCTTAGAGCAGGTGGACCTCCTTCCTACCTTGGCCACGTATCCCTGAGTTTGCAGTGTGTTTTGCTGGTGCTCTCAAGAGCGGTCTGCCCTGCCATCTAGTGCCCAGGTGGCAAGGGAGCCTTCCAACCAGCATGTCCATAAAGTAAATATCTGTTTTATCAAGTTTGAAGAAGACAACTAATATACAGTGTTCCAGGTACATCTTTGATTTGGTTATAGTCTCAAACTGTTATATTGGACTTGTCTATTTCTCTTTCATTTGTATCAGTTTTTGCCTCACATATTTTTTATTGAGTTTAATAGGGTGACATTGTACTTAGTGCCTTGATACTTTCTTCTTCCTGTTTATTTTCTTATGGGAAATAATCTTATAGTGTTGGTCCTTGATACCACACAGTAAATTTCTATTACTATATTATTTTTCCTAGAATATTGACATGTTAAGCCTTTATATTAAGTCCTACAATAAAAGGCTTTGTTCCCGTGAAAGGAATTTAGTTTTAAATAAGTACGTGTGAGGAGAGTAAGAGATTTAAAAAATGTATCAACCAAATAACAAAGTTTGAATCTTGTTTGGATTCTAATTAAAAAAAACCCAACAGTTTTAAAAAGAAACACTTTTAATACAATCATGGGAAATTGAACATTGACTGGATATTTGTTATTCAGGAATAACTGCTAAAATATTTACCTGTAAAAATACTAATATGGTAATTTTAAAGTGTCTATTTTAGGAGATAATTATGGAAACATTTTTGGATAAAAAGATACAGTGCTTGAGATTTGCTTCAAAATATTCCAGTAGGCAAGGAATGGGAGAAAAGAAAGTATAGATGAAGCAAGATTTGCAATAATTAAATCGCTGAAACCGGGTGATGGGTTAGGCATGGACGGTTCATTATACTCTTTCTACTGTTTGATTTTTCATAACAAAAGATTTTAAAAAAATAGAAAGTAGAGCCTTGGTTGGTGATCCAATGGTTAGAGCACCAGCCCGAGCACCTCAGGGTCACGGGTGCGATTCCCTATCAAGAGCATGTACCTGGGTTGCAGGTTCAACAGGAGTGCATGCAGGAGGCAAACAATTGATGTGTCTCTCTCAATTCAATGCTTCTCTCTCTCTCCCCGCTTCCCTTTCACTCTCTAGAAATCAATGGAAAAAATATACTTGGGTGAGCATTAAAAAAAAGTAATAAGTAGAAATGGCCAAGGCTGCTATTTCCTACCCCGAATCTACTCTCATTTTCCCTTACAAACGGAACCCCTATATTGTTGAGGATGGCGTTAACTGTCCAAATTAATTTTTTAAAATTACTTTTTCAGTCTCTTTTGTAGATGTGAGTGACCGGTGAAAAGCAGATAGAAGCCATCATTTTCCCCTTCTGTCAACAGGGAGAATTAAACGTTTTCTTATTGTAAATTTGCATTTGCCCTTACAGAGGCTGTACGCGCCCCGAAGACAGGTCTTTAGCTCACAAACCTGGCTGCTTTCTGGAATTATCTGGGGTGTTTTAAATATATTAAGGCTTGGGCCCCACTTCCAAATCTCAAGCACTGTATCTTTTGATTTCATTGACATGGGGGACAGCCTGGGCATGGGAATTTGCAAAAGCTGCCCCTGGTGATTCTAATTTGGAGACCTCCTGTTCCAGCTCGCCATTGGATCCTCGGAGTGCTTGGCTCCTGCCTGGATGGCGACCAGGCTTAGTTGACTGGCTGTGATCACCCGTGGCGGCGTGGCGTGGGAGGAGCAAAGGTCCTGGTAGCCTTTAGCAACAAAGCCGACAAAGTCCCGCCTTCTCCCCGCCAAACACGCACCGCCCAACGCCCTAGCTGTGGCCCCGCCCAACGCCCTAGCTGTGGCCCCGCCCAACGCCCTAGCTGTGGCCCCGCCCAACGCCCTAGCTGTGGCCCCAACGTCCCAGCTGTGCAGGGCGGTCCTCGAGCGCCTGTTGTGCGCCTGCGCAGCTCCGGGTCTGGCGGGCAATTTGTTTCTCTCCCGGAGTCGCGTCTCGCGATCCCTGGCTTCTGGCTGAGATCAGAGATTGAGTGGCTCGCCGCTCGGCCCCGAGTGGGCCCTTTGCTCCCGGACCCGCGGGAAATTGGGGATCCTGACGTCGGAAGCAGGCAGAAGGCATTGCTGGGACGGGTGTGGGGTGCGGGATCGCGCCGGGCGGGGGCGGAGGCGGAGGAGCAGGGCTTGACCTTCCTGCGCCGCTGGCTGGGGTACCTGGAGCTGAGACGCCCTCACCCACCTCGGAGAGGCCGTAGCTGAGCCCCTTCCTCCCTTTCCCTCAGCTTCCTTAGGAAAGCCCCCGCCCCCAGCGTGGGAGGAATGTTTACTGCACCGTTTCTTTGCACTTGCTGTGTTATTTTGTAAAATTCGTGTCTATTTTACGTTTTTTTTAAAAAAGAAAACGGCAATGTTGTCTTTATATATGT